AACACAAGCACTTGCAGACCTTAACAAAGGTTCCCCCAAAGTTTCATTCGTTAGTGAATGAATCTCAGCCAGTGGAATTGGCCTTCCCATTGAGTCTGTGGCACACTCTCCCAGGGTAGGCTTGACCCTTTATGAGGTTCAGCCTCAGGTAGGATTTGAACTTGGGTCTACCGATCACGAGTCTTGATGCGACAACCACTATGCTACCAGTGACCGATTGAAAAATCTGCTTTGATAAAAACAAAACATGTTTAAAAATAGTTTGTGTGTTCATTTTAACATGAATTTTTTTTTTTATGTTTTCCAGGAAGTAGAACCAATGGGGAAAGAGAGTGACCATATTCACATAATAGCCATAACAAATGCTCTTGGTGTTGGAGTACGAGTTGAATATATGGATCGTGTTAGTGGGAACGAAGTGAACCACCATGATTTCCCAGAAGGATGTCAACCTAATGTAACTTTCTTGTATAGACCTGGACATTATGACATATTGTATCCTCATTGATTGCTGTATAGACCTGGACTTTATCATGACATGTTATAAATTCTGACACTTTCTCTGATCGCTGTATAGAACAGGACATTTTGACATCCTGCAAATTGATATAGACCCACTGAACATTTCAACATCCATGCTGATCATGGTAGACCTGCTGGACATTTTGACATCCTTGCGAATTGATGTAGACCCACTGAACATTTCAACATCCATGCTGATCATGGTAGACCTGCTGGACATTTTGACATCCATGCTGATTGTTGTAGACCTACTGGACATTTTGACATCCTTGCGAATTGATGTAGACCCACTGAACATTTCAACATCCATGCTGATCATGGTAGACCTGCTGGACATTTTGACATCCATGCTGATTGTTGTACCCCTACTGGACATTTTGACATCCATGCTGATTGTTGTAGACCTGCTAGACATTTTGACATCCATGCTGATTGTTGTAGACCTGCTAGACATTTTGACATCCATGCTGATTGTTGTACCCCTACTGGACATTTTGACATCCATGCTGATTTTTGTAGACCTGCTGGACTTTTTGACATCCATGCTGATTGTTGTAGACCTACTGGACATTTT